TCTCAACTCTTTTATAGATTAGTCTTGGCTTGGTCTCCACTCTTTTATACATTTTAAACTTAAATATATTTTTTGAATTTTTGAGAAAATTCTAATTATTAAATACAATAGACTTAAATATAATGTTTAAATTTTAGAAAAATTTATAACTTTTAAATGAAATAAAATTGAATATAATTTGAAATAGTAAAAAAATACACAATCCAAATTTGTTACAATCAATTTTGACAAATTTTACCACTGTTTTAAATCACGGTCACTTATTTATTATGGTGGGCTATGATTATTTGTCACCTTGTATATTAACCATTTTATATCAGACAACTTTTAACTATACTATGTCAACACATATGTTGCACCAAATTGAATCCAAATCCTTCCCGCTGCTTCATGTTCTATGCCACTTCATGTTTCGTTCTCTCTCACTCATATCAAAGTGAAAATTGAAAAATTTTCTTGGGAGGGAATCGTCCCGCCAAACACTCGTACCACATTCCAATGCAGATTTTGCACACCTACAAAAGCTTCTTGTAGCATCTATTCATAAATCCTAAATTCTAAATTTTTCGCATCCCTTCTTCACATTTGCCTTCAACCTCCATTAAATCATGTCTTCGGCATCTGTTTCGAATTCCATGCCACTTCAAATACTAAAACATGGTTACAATAAACCAATGAGGTTGTTCATCTCCAATTCAAATGACAACTCTAACATGAGGTATTAAAAATGTGCAAAATAGGGGGTGATTTTGATTGCCTTTTAATTTATACGATTTCTTATTTTATGAGTTGGAGTCTGTTATTGATTTCGTTAATTTTTATGCGATTTCTTATATTAAACAATTTCTTATTTTAAACAATTTCTTATTTTATGTTTGTTTTCATTGTTCATAAAGTTTTATAGTTAAATTTTAATTGAATATTATTTTTTTATTCATTTATAGGCAATGACAAGTTGTAAGTTGTTCATATGGGATGATGAAATTGATGGTCAACCTCCATATGTTCGTAAAATAGGACATGAATCTAGAAATTTGTTGTTGGATTCGAATGATGCAAATACACACAGTGTGAAGATATGTTGTAGTTGTAACTACTCAGAGATTTTGAAGGACATGTCTACCATAGTTAAAGAACTTCAATGCAAGAAAGGAGAGAAGATGAAGATGGAACTACAAAATTAAAGCAACACATCCAAGATGTTTAAGATGTTTTCTTAATTATTTCATCTGTTTAATAATAAATAAATAAATAAAAATTAATTTTATTATTTTCTTTATGCCACTAAGTTTGTTAAACTGTCTAAGTTTGTTGCATGGCTAATACAAGATATGTTGCATTCATCTCAGCTTTTGAAATTCATCTCTGGCTATGTTTGAATTTTTTTTAACTTTGTAACATGGCCTCCTCTTATACCAACCACAATCACTGGTATATATGATTTTAAAAGTAGTTATAATAATGTTTTTAATGATTAGATGATTAAGATTGATTATGTAAAACAAAATTGAATTGATAGTGTACATGAAAAAAATCTGTGTAAGACTTGCTTGGGTTTGATGCTTTGATTTTATAGATTGTATTTTAGAGGTTGTAATTCAGTAATTTTCTTGATGGTGTACATGAAAAAAATCCTTATAAGATTTGTTTTGGTTGTCATTGATATATGGTAACGTATGCACCACTGATACATCAATGACATACCAGAGTTTTGTTAGCAGAGTTTTAGTATGTCTTGGCCAAAACAGATATACCATAAAATGGCTTCAATTGAAACACCATTAATTTGTTCAACTGATACACTATTAAATGATGTACATTTTGTATATTTTTTCCAAATCAGATTAACCACAAAATGGATTCAACAAATACAACAATAAAACCATAATGGATTCAACTGATACAACAATAAAACCATGATAGATTCAACTGATACAACAGTAACACAACTCAATGATACACCATGATAGATACAAAGTACCAAAACAACTATAACTAATATGAAATAGATGATTATGGGTCTTCAACAGATAGAAAGTACAACTGATACACCATGACATACCATGGAAAATACAATCAAGGTTGAACTACATAAAAGTTGAATATTTTCTCCTGAAAATTTCCAAGCTATCTTCAAAACATCTTCATCCATGGTCATCTCGTATTCAAGCACCTTTCATCTTGCCATCATTTTGCTTATAACCACGCATTACCAAAAGGCCATGAAATCCACACCAAATAAACCAACTACTGCTAGCATCGGTACAAACCATATCATCAATGTCACATGTTTAAATAGTTCAAAATCATTACAAAAAACAACAATTACAATGCAAACCTATCACGCCAACCTACTGCATAATGGACCAGAAACATCATCATCTCATTACAATGCTCTACACAGCTCTAACATGTATTCAAGCACATTTCAATTAAGAGCAAGTATTCATCATTCAAGGACCAAAATCACCATATAGGGACAAATGCATTCACCTTGAAAACCTGTATAATTAAAGCATAAATTCATGTCAAGGAGAAAACTCTTCAAAACATGGCCACAAACAAGGAAATCACCACATTCAAACACCAAACAGAGAAAAAAAATCATCATACAATGCCATACAAATCCACTTCAGTTTCAAATAAGATGCTGAAAATACACATAGAGATTCACATACTATTCAGATCAAAACAATTGCAGTCTTCTACATCACATGAGCAGTTTCAACATCAAATTCATAGGTTCAGTCCAACCACAAACAACATTGTACCTTGATAACATTATCCCATTCCAGCATAGGCACGCCAGATTTCATAAACACTGCCTAAAAACATTGATTTTTTGTATCAAATTACATACACTAAAATAATCAATCATGACCAGCAGATTTTATCACTTGTTGTAGCAGACCAAAACACAAACTTGAATTTTCCCCAACACTCATTCGATATATTGGGTATATGGGTTGTACGTGCATTGCATGAATTATCGGATGTACCACGGATATCAAAGGTTGAAGTCCATACATTGGTGGGAATTTTCTAATTATGCTTGTAATATCCATATTTGTTATCGTTGTCATATTAGTGCCATAGTATTTCGGTGGATCTGAACATTTCTTTTGCACACTTTTTTCACCATTGCAGTTTTTTTTTCTTTTCTTGTTTTGTTAATAAAAATAAATTATTATTTGAATACAAATTATTACACAATATAATAAAAAAATATAATACCTTTGCAATTTGGATTAAAGAATCAGTTAACGACACCGACTCCAACTCAACATTTCACTTAGATGGCGCATTTTCTATACCCTGCAAATTAAACAATAACAATTATTATATTTAATAAAAAAAGACATTGACTCTAACAATCAAATCACAAGTTATTGAATTTACCAAATAATTCCTCGCATTATGAGTTGTACTATTGCATTTTGAACAGTGTCTGATAACTTTTGTGTCATTCTTTTTCTTCTTCTTCGGAGCACCTTTACTCTTCACTTTTATTGGATCACCTACAACTGACCTTTGTCTCCTAATAGGATCGTCAGTACTGTAATTTTTTTTTGTAACTTCATGATCTCCTCCATTATTTTCCCATAAACAACATTCTTTTTTGAAGCTTCTTTGCAGAAAGTAGTAACAACAGAACAATATGCACCAAAACGAGAAACATTAATCAAATTTGAATCAATTGTACCATTAGCACCCATGTTCAAATATTCAATTTTGGCATCCTTTGTCTAGCGCAGCAAAACCATACTGTTAGGAATGTGTTCAACATGTTCTTCCTTCATGACATAAAAAATATGAGAACATGGAAGCCCACGAGAATCAAATAACCTACACGAACATTGAAATGTTGTACCATCATAAACAACTTCTCTTTTGTATTTTTCCTGACAATATTTTGTCAATGTGTAAATCTTCACATCACCACGTCCTATTAGGTTCTTAACGATCAACGCACTAGCCTTCATAATTTCATCTTTAACTTCTTTGAAAATCTGGGATGTATAAATTTTAGCGGCATCGCTCTCAATCAAATACAAGTGAGTTATCAACACCGGTTCTAAAAACTTCGATTTAAAATTAACAACTAGTTCATTGTTTCTGTAGTCTCTAAGAGCCTCCTCAAAATTGTGCATAAATTCAAAAATGAAGCCTTTCTTCATGACATAACTATTGATTATTGCATTAACTGCTTCACATTGAGATGTAGTTCTTATACTTTCAAAAAACTTATCACGTAGATATTCAATAGCCCACAGTGACTTGTTCACATACGTATTAGTTACCCATGTATTTCCTTCAAGTTATTTTACTTTAATTAGCTCTGACCAAAACTCTTTAAATTGATCCTTTGAAAAATTTGAGTACATGGCTTTTTTAAAGCCTTCCAAAAATTCTGAGTTCTTTACATTTTCACATGCATTCTTATTCAAATGCCAAGCACATAACCGATGGGCCACATCGGGATAAAATGTTTTATAGCCTCCTTCATAGCCCCATCCACATCTGTTACCACTTCTTATGGGTATTTATCATCCATGCACTCTAAAAAATAACTCAACAACCACTTATAAGCCTATTGTTTCATCTGATACCAATGCAACACCAAAATAATTGTCTGAAAGTGGTGGTTATACCCTGAAAATATACCCAATGCGTAGCTATATTTTTCTTCTTGTAAGTTATGTCAAACACAACCACATCGCCAAAACAAAAATAGTCAGATCTACTGCTCCCATCAGCCCAAAAGAGAGACTTTAGTCGTCCATCACCGTTGACAACATATTTTGCATATAGCATGGGATCAATAAATGACTTTAAATTTATATAATTTAAAGAAGCGACAATGTCACTATCTTTAATTATATCACACTTTTTTTATCAAAATAATTGTACAAATATTTCTTTGTAAACACAACACCAGAGTATCCACCCATCTGAACAAACATGTACCCCATTATATGACAAGTTCTAATTCCATGTGACTAAAGAACATTAATCTGAGCTCTATCTGCTTCATAAATTTGATGATAAACAGGGTGTAAGTGCACAAACCTAGATGGGGTTAATTCATGGTTATGAGCCTCTTTAAAAATTGACACTACATATATACCCTTTTTGGCTTTATAGTGCACACGATGCCTAGCTGTGCATTTAGTACATGTCAAACGTTTGTGATCTCTTTTCCTATCTAAGCTACATAAGTATTTATTCTCTCTTGAACCATGCTTATTGCATACAAATTGTCTCATTACTGTTATTTTACTACCTTCATGCCCTTTTCTCCTAATATCACTTTTCCTAATGGAAAAACCTTTGCATTTACCATACTTATAATAAAAATCATAAACATCATTAACATAACCGAATTCCATAGCACAAATTTCATCAGAAGTCATGGAATTAACACTTACCACTTTATCGCTTACAATTGCATCTAATTCAACCGAATCATCTTCATCATCATTATCAGCATCATCAACATCATCATCCGAGCTTTGATAAATGTCACCCTCATCATCATTCAATTGAACATCAGATGTATCACAATCAGTGGAATGAACTTCATTGGAATCAACCTCAAATGAATCATCTGAGTTTTCCATCATAAACCTTAATTAAAATAACTTTTAACACAACAAAAGTCAACATCAATCACAATACCTAATTCCATAATTAAAATCAAATGTAACTAAGAAAATTGAAAATTGAAATCATTAAATTTGAAACACATATATAGAAAACAAATCCAGGCATAATCTCTAATTCCCAAATTGAAATACCCATATACAAAAAACAAATTCAAACATAAATCTTAATTCCCAAATTGAAATCAAATGTAATACCCCAATTCGATATCATTAAATCTTAGTAACTAATTTCAAATAAATATAACAAACATTTTCGTATTTACCTTAGCAACTCAATTCTCAATACGAACATAAGAAAAATGCGATTTGTAGATTTTTGGTGGTGTTTTGTTTGATGACCGATTGAATGCAGTGTTAGGAACAATAATAGAGGTCAGTTCATTCAACAATGGCATACATATAGGAACAATAATAGAGGTCAGTTCATTCAACAATGGCATACATACATAAAGTTGTGTATGAGCTGAGCACAAACAGAAATGTGACAAGGTGAATTCGTCCAATAATGGTGGATTGAGTATAAAAAGAATTGAGGTTGGGTTGACTATGAAATTAGCAGAAGAAAAAAGAGAAAGATGAAGTTCCGTTCAGAAAGATGAAGTTTTGTTCATCCAAAGAATTTTGGTACTTTTAATTGATTTTCAATTTAACAATTAAAATTATTGATTTTCAAATTATTAATTTTTTCATTTTTAATATGATAGAGACTTAATTGCAATATTAATAAATATGAGAATACATAGTAAGTGGTATGTACAATATAATCCTATGTGGCACTGATTAAGTTAAAGTTTATTCCTCATTGGCCAAATTAGTGATTTCACCAAAGAAGTCATTTTAGTGACTGCACCATATAATTTTCCCATTAAAAATTTAAAATACAATGCCACCATTTTTCCATAATAATTTTTTTTTTTGTTTTTTTAAATTACAAAATCAAAAGAGCTTCTTTGTCATTTCATAATGAAAACATTTTTACAATTTCAAAACAAACCAGCTTGCGCTACATGTCCTCTTTTTCTCTCACTTTTTCCTCTTTTTACAAATTAAACTATTTCTATCATTCACTCTCTCTATTAAAAACCCCATACACTTCATAATTTTTAAATTAAATTCACTCACCGTCTCATTCTTCTTTCAAATTAAGTTCATTTTTCTTTTATATTTCTTTCTCTTTTCATTTTATAATTTTATCTTTTCTACCTAATTATTTTATTTTCTCCTAATTATTTTTAATATATTAAAATATATAATTATAGTATATGCATAATTATCATGTTATAAAAAAATAGTATATGATTATCATATTAATTATTTATTGGTGTATAAATGTATACAATATTGATATTTAGTAAATAGTCATATACACAATTAACTTTTCAACTCACAGATCACTATCAGAAAAATACGTATTTTATTTTAAATAATATTTTCATTATTTGAGACACAAAATTCTTATTTTTAAATATCAAAATTTCTCTTTTTCTCACGGAGCACTATCAGCAAAATACCTATTTTATTTTAATTAACAATTGTCTTTATTTGAGACACAAAATTCTTATTTTTCTAAATATGGAAATTTATCTTTTTTTTTTTCACGTGCCACTATCGGCAAAATACCTATTTTATTTTAATTAGCAGTTGCATTTATTTGAGACACAAAATTCTTATTTCCTAATATCAATTTTTTTTCCTTTCTCCATTTTACAAGCATTTTTTTTCTCTTTTTTTACAATTATTAATACAATTAAATTTATATTATTATTATTATTATTTATTTTATAATTAAATAATTAATTTTAAATTTACACGTATATCTAAATAAAAATATATACCATATTAAATAAATGGAGAATACTTAGATACAATTCCATAGGTGTGGTTCATACTTTTCTCTAATAAAAATATGATAAATATACCTAAATATCTTTAAGGAGTAAAAATAGGAAGAAATTGCATATGTGTAAGAGGAAATTATACGCTTGTCATATTTTCATTAGAAAAATACATAAATCACACTTAAGAAAATGCACCTAATTTTTTTCTAAATAAATTTACCCGTGCAAACGCACATGTATTTTTCTAGATTTTGATTTGTAATATAAAATGATAGAGAAATAGAAGGGAATATAGATCATTGAATTCTAGTTTGAAGGGTATCATATGTTTTATGTGATGCAAAATTACCGCTCAAGTTGAAGAAATTTTTTTATCGAACTGCGGTAAGACCTGCGGTTTTGTACGAGACATAATATTAGACAGTTAAGAATCAACACAAAAATAAAGTAAGTGTAGCAGAGATAAGGATATTGAGGTGGATGTGTGGTATTATACTCGACAAGGTGAAATTATAATTAAAAATATTAGAAAGAGTGCCAGAGTAGGTCTATAGTGGAGAAGTTGGTGAAAAATATATTTAAGTGATTTGGGCATGCAGAGAAAATTCCGATAGTTTTTGTAGTAAGGAAGGTAGATCAGATGGAGAGAAGACAAATAATTAGAGGAAGAGAAAGACCTAAAAATAGTATCAAAGAAGTTATTAAAAAAGATCTCGAAATTAAGGATTTGGATAGAAACACGATCCTTGATAGAACATCATGACAAAAGTTAATCTTTGTATCTAACTCCACTTAGTAGGATAAGGGGATTAGTAGTTTTTAATTTACTTTATAAATTAAAATTATGAAGAGAAAAACTTTTAAAATATTTACAATATATATATATATATATATATATATATATATATATATATATATATATATATATATATATATATATATATATATATATATATATATATATATATATATATATATATATATATATATATAGGGGACATATCAAGTGAGAAAGGGGTCCCTTATATGAGAGTGAGAGGAGTAATTATAAGCCATTGGATCAAAATTTATGACTAAGATTAAATAATGTTTTAAGTTATCACGTAAGTTTGTTTCTATCTATCTATTTAATTGTGTTTTCTTTTAATAAAACCTTTTCTCTTCCCTAAAGTCTTGCAATATTTTACTAATAACCTCAACTTTTACTCTTCCATTCTAAAGTCTTGCATCTCTTCACCTACTACCTGCAATTCTACTGCTACACTCTTTTCATTTTGTTCCAATTTTCAACATTTTCGGTAAGTTTGTTTCCTCTTTCTCTCCATCTACTATTTTCATGTTAGTTATATTATTGTTTTCTTTACTGTTTCCATGTTAGTAATATGCTAGTACTTATTTGGTCATTTATAAATATGAAATGGAACAACACTTATTAATATTTTTTTGCAGTATATACTACTTTTGGAATATTAGTATCTACTGTTTTGAAATACATATTAATTTGAATTTTGTGTTGTTATTTTTTTATTTTATTTACATGTATTTTTTTATTTATTATAGGAATATTCGTATGGAAATGAGTGACGAAAGAGTTGATTTAGCATCAGCGTCAAAAAAATTAGATGATGTAGAAAACATGTCAGAAGAATGGATTCCTATGTGTGAAGATGAATTCAAACCTATAATCGGTAAGATATTTGATTCTATAGAAGAAGGAGAGAACTTTTATAAAATGTATGCACATTCGGTTGGATTTAGCGTGCGTAATTCATCTCAAACAAGTGATAAAAACGGGGTGAAATGGAAGTATTTTTTATGCTCAAAAGAAGGATTTAAAGTAGAAAAACCGGTAACCTTACATGGATTGGTTATTAGTGAAAATAGTTTGCCTAAAGTGAGAAAAAGAAAATTGACAAGGGAAGGATGCAATGCAAAAATTGCTTTTAAGAGGATGATAGATGGTAGATATGAAGTTGCAAAATTCTATGAAGGTCATACACATGCATTAGTCACACCTAGAAAGAAACAACTCCTAAGATCAGCAAGGACTGTTAACAATGCTCACAAGAAATTATTGTTTTCTTGTAACAAAGCTAATGTGGGAACTTCCAAAGTTTACCAATTATTGAAAGAGCAAGTTGGGGGTTATGAAAATATAGGATGCACTCAAAGAGATTTTCAAAACTATTCAAGAGATTTGAAAGAATTGATCAAAGACTCGGATGCACATATGTTTATTGATAATTTTAGGAGAAAACATGAGATGAACCATTCATTTTTCTATGACTATGCGGTTGATGATGAAGGTAGGCTGAAATATGTATTTTGGGCTGATGGTATTTGTCGGAAAAATTACTCTTTATTTGGAGATGTGATTTCATTTGACACAACATACAGTACAAACAAGTATTGTATGATTTTTGCACCATTTACAGGTGTAAATCATCATCGTCAAAGTGTAACATTTGGAGCTGCATTCTTAGCCGATGAAAAAGTCGATTCATTTGTGTGGTTGTTTGAGTCATTTTTGAAAGCAATGGGAGGGCACAAACCTACTGTGATCATAACAGATCAAGACCCAGCTATGAAGATTGCAATAGAGAAGGTATTTAATGGTTCTTCACATAGATTTTGCATGTGGCATATTTTAAAAAAAGTTTCAGAAAAGGTAGGCGTTTCCTTAAATGCCAACATTGATTTTAATAATCGTCTTAAGTCATGTGTTTGGAATTCAGAGACTCCTGAAGAATTTGAGTCAAGATGGAATAGTATTATTAGTGATTTTAAATTAGAGGAGAATGGTTGGCTTTCTCAAATGTTTGATATTAGAAGTATGTGGATACCAGCCTATTTTAAAGATATATTTATGGCGGGAATTTTGAGAACAACTTCAAGATCAGAGAGCGAAAATTCATTCTTTGGAAATTACTTGAACAAGAACCTTAGCTTGGTGGAATTTTGGATGCGATTTGATTCTGCAATAGAGGCACAAAGGCATAAGGAACTTCTTGCAGATAATGATTCACTTCATTCTTTTCCAGAATTGAAGTTGCAAATGGATTTAGAGAAGCATGGTAGAGAGGTATATACTCATGAAAACTTTTACATATTTCAGAG